ATCAGGATGAGCACTCAACAATGCATCACCCGAACCATAAAACGAGAATCAGCACAACAGATCATGCATCGATCGACACAACCCCGACGTCAATCGATGCACACTTGATCGACACATAGCAATTGTGTCGATCGACGCAAGACACATCCAAGAATCGAACCTATCCTCTCACAGATCGATTCCTGAACGCATCATATCGATCTCATGCACGAAATTCACCAAAACAAGCACAAAATCCAACCAAAAACACAATCAATCGCATCCTATCAATTCTTTTACCCAGATAAACCATGGTCATGTACTCACTTTGGTTTCGGAAAGGAAAAATGATGAAAAACTACGAAGGACGTGAAAAACACGAAGAACAGAGATCTCTAAATCTGAAATCCTCTCCTCCTTCGCGAGCAACAAGCACCAGAATCGATTCCAAGAGTCTCACAAATACACTAACGAGCTTTTATGATCAATAAATCGAAGAAATCAACAATAATTTTTCCTTTTCTCTCAAATCCTCTCTCAAACTCACTGTAAACTCTCTGAAACTTTCTGGAACTAAAACTCTAGACCAAAACGCGGCCACATCTCTTTTATAGGGAAACCCTAGGTTCCCTCCTAAAACGAGCCGAAACCGGCGATTAAAATCGAACCAACCCTGTCCAATTTAACCTTGCGTCGATCAACACACCCCTTGTGTCGATCGACGCACGCACCAAAATCTTCTATTTTGGTTTGCGGGCGTTGCAACTCAGACATAGCAAAACAATCCATGAAAATATTTGTATTCATTAAGAAAAAAAGAAAGAGGGTTCGAGAAACTTCTCTAAGGATTACAAAGAGGGTGAGAATCGTTCTCCCAAAATCTAAATGAGCAAAGTAACCAGTAAAGAGAGATGAATACTTTCAGAACTTGTGCATAACTAAGAGTTTTGAAGTGATGATGGTGGTGAACGTGGTGTCCTTCTTTTGAGGCTGATGAGTCTCCTTTTATAAGTCTTAAGGTCGGTTATGGCTTCTCTCAAAAGATTTAGGAGATAATCTTCAAAAAAGAAAATTCTCAATCTTCTCGAATAGGGCGATCAATCGATCGTCGATCGCAGTGTTAATGCGTCTGTCCGTCGAAAATAGTGAGTTCGTGATCGGTCGATCGCGAGTGAATATCCTGGATCGCCTTTAGCTTGATTCTCCTTCGAACAGATTTTCTTAAATCGAAGGTATCTCAAGATCTAACCGTCGGATTTAGGCAAATGAATATCCGTTTTGAAGCTGAGATCCTCCTCTATCTCATGGTGAATAATCATCTCGATCTAACGGTGGGAAGATCTTAATATGGAGCAAAACATCTGTATCGCCTTTAGCTTTTAGCTTGATCCTCCTTCGAACAGATTTTCTTAAATCGAAGGTATCTCAAGATCTAACCGTCGTATTTAGGCAAATGAATATCCGTTTTGAAGCTAAGATCCTCCTCTATCTCGTGGTGAATAATGATCTCGATCTAACGGTCGGATTTAGGCAAAACAGTTACGATTTTTTCTCCCTTGAAAAGGCTTGATTTCACTCTTTTTTTGCCCAAAATGTTCCAAAAGTATGTAAAGACTTCAAAACCCACGAAAATGAGAAAAGTAGCATGTTAAGTCCAAAAAGCATTCATTTTTTTCTTAAATTCATATTAAAAATATAGGGACAACGGGTAAAATATCGTATATATCA